ATAATAAAATCAGCAGCTTCTCACAACCTTTGACAGTTTGCAGTCTAGTTTTAAGGTGAATGCAGTGAGTAGGTGAGCAGACAAATACCTTTGGGAAGGTGAGTTTATAAATCAGGTCTGTAAATTAAAAACAGAGGTCTCAGTTCACTAACTACCATATTTACTTACTAAATGGCATTGGGGCTCTTCTACTTTCCCAAATTTACTGTTAAACTGGACTGGCTGTAATAGGAATCTGTTTTAAAATTCATCTATTACCGCACAAAGGGTGCAGTTGCGTGATGTGGCATTTATATTTTGAGAGGTTTGTCTGTTACTTTGGTGTCAGTAACGAGAAAACGTAATGGATTTTTGCAGTGGTATGAGACGGGGTATTCTTGCGTTAAATCAAAGATAAAGACCATCAGAAAATGTTCAGTATACTACACTATTTATGTTACATGTGAATTTTGGAGGCCTGTTTTTCTTTGTGTCTTGTATAGACATTAGAGATACCTAAATTAATACTTAATATGATATAACATATCTACTTTACACAATCATAAATGGCTGTGAAAATGAAAGCAAGGGAAAAATGGAGTCTAATTTTAGCCTCTTTGCAATTTGTTTTAATTGCTGACAAATTTGATCTACGTTCAAAGAACCTTAGATATTTATCTGTATAATATGTAATAGTATATTCCAACTTTAAAAATACTACATTTGCAAAAATGAGTAAACATCTTGAGGTGGATTCCTCCACTAATAATCTCCTATTCTGATTTCTTTGTAGATGTTTGCAAGTGTGTCAGTATTAAAAAAAAAATCAATGCTGATTTCATCTAGGGTTTCTGCCTTTTCCTTTTGTGAATCATTTTCATAAATCAACATGCCATCTATTGGAGGCATCTCTTCTGTTGCACTATATACACTAAAGTGTTTGTTTGTAGAGGAGAGTATGCAATGATGCAATAATGTAATAATTGGAAATGGACTTTCTCTGACATTGGACTGTCTTAGAAAGAGATGGATTCAGATGGTCTCTGGGTTCAAATTCATGTAGTAAACCATACAAAAGTTCTAGAGGTTTTTGATGGAGGGCTGGAAGAGGGATTAATCTCTTTGGGGTACTTGCTGGGGAACAGCTGCAGTGTTGAGGGTGTGATTTCACATTTTCATCTCTGTTGCAGATTAACCAGTAATAGTAATAGATCCCTTTCATGAGCTATTTAGAATCCAGGAAATGGTTATTTAGTAGTAGCCAAGAAATGATCTTGGTTTTAATTATTTCCTAGTTTGCTAGTTTAACCATCCTGAAACTCTCTCTCTGAAGGTAGGTCTAGTGCTATCAGTATACAAAAAGAGTGGAATGGAGTATTTCAGATCTATGGTTGATCCAAGTGATCAGTCATACTTCACATGAAACAGTGTCTGTAAAATTGCTTGTTTAAATGTTTCCCCTTGCTCAGCGAAACAAGGAGCACCCCTCATTCGTTTGTTAGCAAAGTGGCAAGAGTATCATGTGTGGCCCTGGACATTTTTCAGTTGCTTTGTAAAGAACTAAAATAAAAGAATGGTAAGGAGGGGGACAAAAAACAACTATACTATGTTTTGTGTTTTCCCTTGTTTCATAGTGGATATTAACAGCATATTTCTGATTGTCATTTAATTAGGTGCATTATGTGGATCTGTAACACTTGTTTACTATCTACAACAAACCTGAATGAAAATACTGGAGGCAAACAGTCCAAGATTGAATGCTCTTGCTTGGATGCATCTCTGCCGCTAGAGAGACAAGTGGATGACAATCTAGCAAAAAAGAGAAACCCTTTTAGGGGAAATAGAGCTTGGGTGTGTTGTCCCCTAACACTTGAATGTTTTCTTTCATTTGATTTTCATTCTACAAAACAAGCTCGTTTATGTCTTCTCTTTAAGCTAGTAAAGCTAAAATGTTTCTCTTCAAGCAGTTGGCTGAGGATATTGTGAGGTACTTTTGTCACAGATTCAGGTACAGTTGTGTCAATTCTTCAGCATATTTCAGATTGCTCCTGGTAGGTCGTATAAGGACCCAAATTCAGTATGTTAGAGTTTTTTTTTTTTTTTAAATTAAGAGAGGTAGCTTGAGTGAAGTTTGTCAGTTCAATTTCTGAGCTTCTTGCTTATAAATGAGGTTTTGTGCACATCTCTTGAGAAAAGCAAAAGCAAAGAGCTTAAAGATAAGATTATATTAAAAGTCTGCTGGTAGCATCTCTGTGGTTTTGTTTGTTTGTGTGTTTCCCAGTAGAAGTCAATTACATCATGCTGTCCTTTCAGTGGGCTGCAGTTTGCTGTACTATTAAATATGTGACTTATTGAGCAATAAGAATATCTTGAAGGAAGTAAATCCTCTGATCAGTCTGGCTTGAGGAAATGAGCTTGGTAGACCTCAGTCAGGAAGGTGACTTTTCTACCATCTTGTGGAGTCACAGGTATCAATACTTTGTTTTCAGAATGTGTTATTTTACTAAGGATCTCCACAGCTAGACAGAAACTCAGTAGCTGCTGTCGCATTTGTGGTATGCCAATTAATCTTCTTTGAAACATAACCCAGTTTCACAAGAGCAAGCTCTACAGTCTTTCAGTCTATTTCGTTTCCAGGATTATCATCTCCAAAGTCTGATCTCCTCTAAATGAGTTGTCTAAATGTCAGAGTGGCTGAAACAGAACTTAAAATGTCTGCTCTTAGTTGTTAAGACAGTATTTATATAGCTTTTCTTATTTTTTAAAGACATCAAGGAAATATGGAATTATACAGTTGTTTCATAGAAAAGCAAAAAATGGAGACACAAAGATCTTTTTTAGCTGTTAGTCTCTTATGGTGCTTGGTTCTACTTCTGATTCTATACTTGCTCCTGATCGTAATTCTAGCATAGCCAATAGATAGAGATTTTGCAAGTCTTCATTCCTAAATTTTAGGACTTATACTTGACTTCACTGCTCTGTTTCCCAGGACCTGTTATTAACAGTGTGAACGTGAAAATGCAAGGAATTTCTTACCAAATGTTAAAGGAGAATCTGGATGAATTTGGAAGTACAACTTAATTATGAACATAATTGCATTTCTTGCATATAATTGCAATCATAAGTCAAGCAAGACAGCTTCTAGTAGTTGGGTCAAATTTTTAATTTTATGATCTAAATTATTCATGTGACTAGTTGCATAAGCTTTCTGCATAAAAATTGGCTTCCTAACAGAGAGATCAGCTTATCTTGTTCTAGCCTTTTTGATTACCAGCCTTTTTGATTAATGGGAAACTTCCATAAATATACATGTCATTTATGCCTTCTGACATATATTTCAAATATGGATGGTGAATTATTTCTAAGCTTTATAAAACGTGTGTCACCAAAGTTCTGGTTAGAAGAAAATATTAGATTATGCGTGTAGGATAGAGGAGCATGAAGGGTTAAATGGCAAGTGGACACAGAAATCCAGTTCAGGTTTTTCTTTTTCCGTATGATTCAGTATCTTTGGAATTTCAAAAATCATTTTAAGTCAATTATGGAAAGTTGAATGCAAGTTGCAGTGCAGCTGCAGTCAGACTGAATGATAGGATGCATAGAGAACACAGGGAGCTCAGTACAAGAACGCACACTGCTATTACACTCAGTAGTACTCCCACATATGAGACTAAGTAGTGCTAAACACAATATATATCAAGACTGATACAGCAGTAATATAAAGTGACTTAAGACAAGTGGTGATAGTGATTAGGTCTATGAAGATTTTTATAAGAGGAGACTGAAAGAGTTGTATTTTTTAGGCAGAAGACAGCCTGGGATTTTTTAAAAGCCCTGTCTCCTAAAGAAAGACCTAAGCTCATGTGCAGTACCATCAAATAGAATAAACTAAACACACACACACACACACACATTTATATATTATATGCAAACCATGTAACTCAATGGAATGTAAGAATTCAAGGTCAAAGATTGAAATTTAAGGTGATTCAGGAAAAGATTTTTGATACATTTCTTGATTAGATTTTAAAGTATGCCTTTAAAAAAAATCATTAGAAAGTGCTCGAAGTAGACATCTATTTTTAACATAAGTGTTTCTTGCATTTTCTTGTGATGTATCTGGGCTGGCCAAGGTTCAAAATATTTGTATAAGTCAGTATATCGAACAAAATTTTTATTCAGGATGATGGTTTTTTTTGGTGGCAATTTGAATTAATTTGTCTTTTCTCCCTTTGTCAAGGAAAAATGTGAATGCTAGCTTTGATTTCCCTTTCTGCTTCCATAAGTAACTTTAATAATCCTCTTTCAAAGGTCCAAAGGGGCATTTTGAAGCATCTTTCATTCACATTTCATGCTTAAAAACGGGTCCAGGGCTATGACAAGTATGAATCTCATTGTGTGCTTCCTCTCTGTCCTTTTCTGACATTTTGCTACACTTTGAAAAATGAAAGATGATGTATTTTGCAATTTCAGAGATGCTCAGCTGGAAACACAGGACCTGATTTATTCTACAAACACTCATTCCTTAAAGTATTCTACAAGTGTTGCAATTTCAGTCTTGTGTCAAATATTGAAAATCTTACTATAATTATTCAAAGAGCTTAAAACATTCTTAAGTTTGCCCTTAGGAAATCTTTTACTAAGCTTGTGTTCTCCTAGACTAGAAGAAAACAGTCACTCATACTTCTTTAGGTGTGTACAGGCAGCTATGGTGATGAGATGTAATATTGGTTGAACATCTGTTTTCCTTTTACAGCTAAAACTAATTGGTTATACTATGGGGATTATGGCACTCCATCCTGAGGAAGAACGTAGGTTTGTGCAGCTATGTCAAGGAGACTATTGTGTTCTATATTTGAAAATGAAGTTCATGAAAGTTTAATTTGATTTTTCTTATGTTTGTCAAGAGATTTCTCTCTCTCTCTCTCTTTTTTTATTCATGAAAGTTTAATTTGATTGTTCTTATGTTTGTCAAGAGATTTCTCTTTCTCTCTTTTTTTTTTTTCCCTCAAACATTTCAGTTATGGGTGCCTCAAGTGTATGTGGAGCCACTCTTATTCTCACTCAAGTTGTTGCACTTCTGATGAAGAAGTTTCACCATGCCAGGCGAGACTGGAGAGGGAGTCTGTCAAATATTCTGCTGCCCGTTCTCTTTGTTGCAGTGGCGATGGCCTTGTTCAGTGTGAAGCCACTGGCTATTGATTATCCTTCACTCAGGCTGACACCAGGACTTTATGAGAATGCAGAATCCTTCTTCAGGTAAAGAGCTTATCCATCATCATTGATAATCCAGGCTTCTGGGACCTTTATCCTTGAGTTCTCATACTTTAAAGACTGTTTGCTCTCTAGAAAGAATAATAGCTCGCTCTTTCACAATAAATGTTTACTTTTGAGTTGTTTAATATGTTTTTAGAGATCATCATAATGGGGACCTAAAAATAGAAAAGCATTACAGAATTTTTTCTGGAGGGAAGGGCAAAGAATTTGAAGTCATCTGGGTTGGGTATTCTGTTTCACTACCAGTCACAAACATTTGTATATAAATGCATAAGTGTATTAAAAAACCCTTTTTGTGTTTCATCTTATTAAGCTATTTTTGTCTGAAGGCACTTTCTCAATAATTTTCCTTTTGTATGAATTTTTTAATTCTTTAATTTCTTGCTAAGCATGTAGGATCTTGAAGGTGAGAGTTAAAATAACTAGGTATAGTTCTGTTAGAGCTCTATCTGAGTTCTGCTAGTTGTAACACAATATTAATGTGTTTGGATTTGTTTTTGTTTTCTGTGGGCCACTTTGAACAGCACTGGAGATGATAACCTTGGAGACCTTTCTCAGATTCTGCTGAGACGCTTTGCTGATTTGGACCATATGTGCACACATTCACAACAAGGGTAATTGTGGATAATGTAACTAAAAACTAAAGCTGCTCTGTTCTTATTTAACTTTTGCTACTAATTTGACAGGTCTTCGTGATTGGTGAAGAAATCAATAACAACAATTTAAAACTTAACGGTAAAAAATCATTAGCTGTTATTTGGGACTAGGAATAGTTTTTACTGAATGTATCTGCTAAAAAATAATTTAAAATTATTGATGGCTCTGAAAGTAAGAGGATGGGTAAAAATAAATGTTGTAAATAAGCTGTACATTCAATATTTTACTCTATACACTATGGACTATCTTAGGCTTTTCTTGACATTTTGAGATAAGTAACAAATATCCTCTGATGAAGAAGCTAGGTACAGGTACATAAGTAAGCATCTTTAACAAAGGTCCAATCCAAATCCCTTATAAGTCGGTGATAGCTTTCCTATTTATTTCAGGAGGACTTTGATCAAGTCTGGTGTCTGTATGAGTGAAGGTTAGAGAAATAATTACATTTCTTATTAAGAGGAGTTCCAGATTTCCAAAGTTAGCAAAGTTAGGAGTGGTGGCTATACTTTACTTATCTTATGCATGGAGAAAAAAAACAGGTGTGTGGCTAATTCATTGCTTACATATTTAAGTATTTTAGTGACTCTGCTTTGCTCTAAGGGAGTAAAACAGGCATAGCCTCACACATAACTGCTCTTGTGACAGAATACTAAGAAGGTAATTAGTTTGCCACATCTGTTTGTTGTCCTGTAGATTTTCTCTGTTAAATAGTATATTTTTCTCTCTTAATGGTTATTTTCTGTTTTTTTTTTTTTTTTCCATTAGGAAAAATAATTCGTGTTGGCAGATGGAATCTATTTCACATCAATATTCCTGCGGATGTGTGGCTGAACAAGAGGTATGTCATTTTATATACAGCATGCACAGTGTGTAGTATGCATGCATAAGGATCCATGTAGTTATGTGTGTGTGTGTGTGTGTGTGTGTATATTTGTATGTCTTTTCCCCCTTGATTCTTTCCTTTTTGAAGAGGAGACAGTTCTGAGAGAAGGGGATAAGAAAGTAAACCCTCAGTGTACTGGCTTTGTTATAACTGGAGTTTTCCTTCTCCAATTTCTTTTTTTCCTGACATTTGGGCTGTGTTCTGAAGTCTTCGGGGAAAGGACTTGTGTAATCTCAGTAGAAAGTCTGCAGTCATTGTGTTAACATTGTAAAACTATTGCCTCTTCCAGAAGTGAATTATTGTGATGATATTTTGTGTGAAACAGATGTCTTAGAAACAAATTAACAAGAAAAAAATGAAGTATATACCTTTCTGCAAACTATATTGAAGTACAATTTTGCATAAATCTGAATGTCAAGCATGACTAAAGCAATACATAACAGTCTAGTGAATTTAGTCAGTAATAGTAGTAAAAATGGTACCTGTGTGTAGAACTAATCAGATTTTGAGTTTTCTTAAAGCTTTGCATACTGAACAAAGGCAAACTTGGTACTTTTTGAAATTAGAGGGATATCTTTCTTACACTAAAACATACTGCCATGCTTACAAAATGGAATAGGCCATGACAGGTGGTGACTAGAATTGGCAGGACCGACATCCCAGAATATCCTGGAACCCTTTTAATGCTTTGATTGGGGACAGTTTGTTTTGGAAGGCTGCCTTACAGCCATGGAATATGGATGTCCTGACTTCATATATCCTCAGGGAAACCATGCATCCAAGGTGTTTTTTTTTGTGAAATACTTTCAGTTCATCTGCAATTTTTAACAAAACTTCTGCATTGGAAAGTTTCCGAACAGTTCTGTAGTATTTGGTGGTAACTAGATAGAAAAACAAATATATGCACATTAGTGATAATTCTACGTTCATCTAAAGTAACAAGAATGAAGGATGGCTGAGCACTTAGCAGACATAACTTTGCCTTAAATGTTTGCCTGAATGAGACCATTGCACCTAATATTTATATCCTTATGAAGCAAAGAAGTTATTTAGCATAAAAATTGCATCTCAAGTATAGTTCTTATGATGTGGGGAAAGCAGAAGGGAGGAACAATAATTTTTGACTTCCTAGCTAGGACATGTTTCCTGGGCTATACTAGCAAGAGAGATATTTAGAATGTAAGCAGATGAAAATGGGAAGAGTAACTTGGCCTCCAGGTGAGGCCTCTCCTGACTGTAAGCAGGAAGAAGTCACTTAACAAGGGAGCCAGAGTCTTCATCTGTGAGCTGTGGAAAACTGGAATCTCCAGCAGAGTGATTTGTGTATCGTTCAATTATCACATAAGTATATATTTTTTTCTTTTGTTATCCTTATCTTTGAGGATCTCCCATGCTTCTTACTACAGTATTTGTCTCCTTTTCTTTGGTTCAGTGGGAATATTTCACAAAAACACTGGAATGTATCTTTCTTTATTTTCCACCTATTGTCCATTGGGGAAATTTGCTTTTAAAGAGTGTTCTGTGGATTAGAATTTTCATTTCGTGTTTATCTAGGGTATTTTTAATATTTATTTTCAGACCCAGAAGGTGAGTAATAACAACCATAGAAGTCTTGTTGCCTTTTTCACTCCTTTCCAAACTTGATGCTTTCAAAACACAGCTGACTTAACAGGGTTACAACAGAAATCAAAGTTGGCTGTGATAAGTAGGTGACAGGAACAGTTACTTGAGATGTTTTATAAACATAAAACCGTACATAATTTATCTAAAAGTTGTCAAAGCAGAGAAAGGCAAATACAGTTGAAAAGCAATGCCATGAATTCTGAATACAACTTCAAAAATATGGCTAAACCTAGGCCAAAGGTTTTTAAGAGTGTTTTAATGATTCTGTATATGTTGTTTTCAGATGTGTTCAAGTTTCAATGTCTCTGCTCCCTATGTGAAGAATAAGAAAGGGCAAATTCTGTATAATCTTTCAGGATTCCTTGTGGAAGAATATTTAGTCCGGCCTTCCAACAAACCAAGGTAATCTTAAAATTCATAACATATGTTTACTTCATGTATAAAACACATTGTCCTTCCTGACTCAAAGCATAGACCTGAATCCCTTGGAATATGATGAGTAGCTGCCTTTTTCTGTTAGTTGTTATTAAGGTACCCAAGCTAAGACAACATGAAGCCTCCATCTCATGGACTTCTCAGTTTTCCATAACAGTTGCACAATAATTGTCTGTAGCATGGTCTGGCTTCTTGTTACACAATGAATGTTTTCATCGTCTCCGAGTAGGAAGACTTACATGTCTACGCAAGATAAGCATTCCTCATGGATTCTGTCAGTACTTGTGCTTTTACCAAATTGAATCTTGTCTTTGCACTAGTAAGGCTGGATGCTTACTTTGGGTTCTTCCCTCTCTCTCTCTCCCCCAAAACCAACCCCCACCTTCCAGCAAGACTTGATATTCTCCGATACCAGTTCAGAGGGGCTAAGTTTTACTTTCAGTTGGAATAAATAAACATTAATATATGTATTAATATAAATAAACAATAAGAGATTTCACTCTTATTGTCAGAAAAGACTGCTAAGGAAGACAAAACTTAAGGCAGGTGACTTACTATTACCTTATTTTCTGTTATTAGATATGGTGGCTGGTCTTTTGGAGAGAAGACAGCCTTTGACCTTCAAAATCTAAAATTGAATAACACCAAATACAAGTCTGTGGCCAAGGTAAGGGATGTGTTTGTATGTATGTGCATGCATGTATCACTTATTTGTTTGGGCTCCAGACTTTACAGTGCTTCACAAATAATAAACTGTTACATAAAATCCTGGTGGTAGAAATTGGGAGAAATCCTATCAATCTTGCAGTTCATTTTTCTGTTTATAATTCTTGAAATTTTCTCCTGTGTTCTAATACAGTTTTAAATAAGTCAAATGATATAGTTTCTGCTATTTTTCCTGTGAAGTTACTTTAGAATGTAGCTGAGCTCACCTTTAAAATTTCTTCGCCTAGTAGTCAGCCCAAATCATCATCTCTATTTTTTCTGTTCTACAAAAAGTCAATGTAAGAATTGACAAAAGTCCATTGAACTTTTTTTTTTTTTTAAAAAAAAAGATTTGTTATCAATGGCTCTCTCATTCCTGCAAGGGATATTTTTCTTTGTTAGATTTTCTTTGCTTCTTTTCTTGCTCCTTCAATTTCATTGCTCTTTTTAAAAAAGTAAAGGTTTAGGTTTAGGCAGTATCTACTTCTGCATAACAAATGTACCTCTCAACTCATATACTTGCATTGAAGTCATTCATCCTCTGTACCCCCGGCTTTCTTCCAGCTTTGAAGTCCAGTTACATCAATCCTCAATTAGGAAATTGAAGTCCTAGAGGATTACACTAAGATGTGTTTTTCTGTCTACTGTTTTTGTCCTATGTATCTTTAATCATTTTAGAGATTTGTTTTGACACGCCTGCACGGTGTTTTTTATAAGAGTCCTTTCCTTAAATGTCTTTGGCACACAGCTCTGCCTGTCATCAACATGAGGATAAATTATGGTTATAGTCTTAGTGAGTAAGCTTCATATTTCAGAGCCAAAGAAAATAGTGGAGTAGATTTATAAAGGGCACTATGTTATCTAAAATACCTCCTGGATGTGGCTTTCAACTGATGCAATGTCAAATTATTGCATTAACCTTTCAGTAATTAATGACCAGGCTTTTACTTTGACCTTTCAGGATGTTCACAAGGCAGCGAATGTAGCATTTACATAGCCTGTTATGAGAGAAAATGGGAAATTTGCATCTGAAGAGACACACAATGTGATTCATTTCATTTTAGAAAATGTCTGAAGCCTAATGTTGTTCTCTTCCACTGCAAGAGCCAACTGCATTTCTCCAATTCAAATTCAGAATTTGAATAGGCAATTTTAAAGAGATCTGTTGCTTTAGCTATGGTACTGTGCTGCAGATACACACAGTGTGTGCATGTGTGAGAGAGCATATCTACCACATGCCAAACAGCTTTGATTATGAGCATTAATCCCTGCTCATTGATCCCTGCTCCATGGCAAAAGTGTAACAACTCTACTTTGTTTTTCCTGATTTTTGCAGACTTGCTGACTCAATGTTCCTTTTCTTTTTTTTAATAAGATAGGCAAGGATAATGATTCCATAATGATTTCATAGTTGCTGTTTGCAACATTATTGAAAACAGGAAGAACAAGTGGTGAATTAAATAGCTGTAAAAGGTAATTTAGCTGTCATTTTGAAGCCCTGATCTGAAAGGCTGAGATTTGAGTCTTTACTGTACAGTGCTATTAGAAGTATCTGACGAGTGCTGCATCTCTCCAGTAGAACACCCATTTTGTCTACCTCCCCATAGTGAATTTTGCCCCCATATCCTCAGGAAT